TATTATCCAGTGTCTTTCCTCCGGTTCCGAATTCCTGTACTCGGTTTCCACGCCGGGCACGTACACGAGGTTGGCAAGCTCGAACGACATGAGCACTGTCTTTTCCAGGTTGGCGATCTCCTCGAGCTGACCGATCTCCGGTGAGGTGGCCGCCCCGACGGCGGTCAAGGCGTGAATCAGAACCGATCTGCTGGCTCTGAATTCCGTCATGTCCTCCACGGTTGCGTTCGCGTTCATAAAGTTGTCTCTGCAGCAGGTTCTCGTAACGAGCTCTCCGTGCGACAAGCCCGATGCGTTTATCTCGGCAGTTATCGCTTTGACGTCGGTCTCCCTCTTCCATCGGACGAAGAGGTCTTTGCGTTCTCGCAAGAAATCAAGGTCGCACTCCACAGGATGGAAAGCTCTCCTCAACATGTTTTAAAGCGAATAAGTTAGAAACCAGAGAAGTTGCTCCGTTTTTATTAACACCGTTTTCTTGTCTCTTTCGCAGATTCTAGCTCTGAAACACGTGGTCGCCACAGTCGACCGTATGGATTCCTTGTTGGACGTGCACGCAGACCTCGTCGTCGACACCGTGAACGAAGTCCTGTCCACGTACCGAACGCTGATCAGCTGGCCCGTTCGCGTGTACGTCGAACGGAACACTTCGCACGCCCACGCTGCGATGATGGCAAAGCAGGTGACGGATCGGTTCGCCGGCACGTCTGTCGACGTCTCGTTCGAGAAGGAGACGAGACAGGACGGCGCCAGGTGCGTCGGACTGTGGACGAGGGACAAAGGCAATCTTGTGCACCTCTCTCAGATGCTGCTGGAAAACGATCAGGTCGCGTTCTCCGAAGACATCGACGTCGCCTCGACGGAGACTTTGCACGATTAGCTAAGAAAATTCAGACGACTCGTGCGGTCCGACGGAAAGATAACAGTCACAGGAAAATCTGTCGGAGTGCGCGACGACCTCTCCATGACGTTCATCCTGTGGTTGGCTTGGACTTGTTTCTTTCGATCTTGATTATTATGTTTAAAACAAATAAAATGTTAGAATAGAATATGTGGTTTCTCAAGTGTTCATTTTTATTTTCGTAAGTGTCGTACACCGCTTCCTAGTCGAACGTACGGCACACGCAACACGTCGTGATACGACATGCGCACATCTCGCACGCAATCAAGTGACCGCACGGCTCGGCTAGGACGCTGACAGAAGCGTCGCAACATATCGTGCAAGGAAAGAGTGGTGGCAGAACAAAGTATTCGCACTCGCTTTCCTTGCGGTCGGGCAAAAAATATTTGCAAAAGGCCAGGATTCTCTTTCCAGCCATCATCTACTCTCTCGACATGATACGAATGGAAATGAAAAGAGACGATTAAAATTTTTTAGTGTTTTTAAAATCTTTATTTATAAAAAACAAAAAAACAAACGATAATAACTGTTCAACCTCTCCCGGACATCGATAACGAACCTTCCCATATCAACTCCTCTATTTGCTCATCCAATCCGGACAACGTGGTAACCAGTCGCTCCGTCTCGGCTCTCGTCATAGCGAGTTCCTGTCTGATGATTCGATTGCTTTCGGATATCGACTCGAGATGGGCTCTCATGCGAGCGATCTCCATGTCGCGTTCGGCAACGGCCGCTGCCAGACGGCCGGTGTGATAAGTTGGCTTTTCGGCTTTGAGCATTTTTCGTCTTTCGTCTAACCGGCAGTTTTGAAATAACATGTAATTTTGGTAATCCATCGGCTTTTATGAGTTAGGATTAGGGTCGTCGTCGTCGTCGCGTAAGAACAAGTGCGATAAGATTCCTGTTAAGAACGCGATCGAACAGGCGACGTTGAAAAAGTTTTCAAAAAAGACCAGAGTCTCCCCGCACACTCACCGGACGTCGGCGTCGACAACTTGTTCACGATGACGTACAGCTGTATCTTTCCGCCCGAATCCGTCGACGGAGCCATGATCGTCTTGAGATAGTTGTCGCCGTGCGTCCGTCTGAGCCGGCGGTGCAGGTATTTCAATGAACACGATCCGTCCAGCGTTGTCTTGAAGGTTTGCACGGACGGAGTTTCGAATGCGCACTCTCGGACGTCGTCGCGAACGCGATCCTCTTCGTCGTCTTGCAGTTCGTCGCTGGGCACTCTGGCACTTGTCGAATATCACGTTGAAGGAGATCTTCTTGTTTGCGGATTTCGGTTTGTGGACGTGTACGGCCATTCCCGTAGTCGCGGCGAGTCCCTCCAGTTTCGTGAGATCGATCTCGGTCCTGCCGTCCGTGACCAACTTTCCTCCGAACATGTCGTCGTTTATCATGACCGGTTCGACGCTCCGACAGTGCAAACCCGGGGGTAACGAAGCCAAGAACGATCTCCACGCGTCCATCAAGAATCTTTAGCTAACCTGATAGGTAACTCGTATTCCGAATCTCCGGATATCACGTTCGTTCCGATAGATTTGCCGGCCGGCAACACGACGAGGTCGCCCGTGGCCAATAACGCACGGCGCGGCGCGTACGTCTTGCCCCGGTGTTGGAGAACTATGGATAGTAGTGTGAAAAGGATCACCACGGAGAGCGAAACGTTCATCTCGGACGTGCACACGTTAAGCGAACGCGACGCTAATGTTCCTCGACTCGAGGGAGTACGTTCGCCACGTGGCGAACAGGCGCGACGCTTGCATGTTATACACATCTAGATGTGTATAAGAGACAGTGCGTAGGGTGAACGAGGAATTCAAGAATGCCGAACTCTATCTCCTGGACGAGGAGCAATGTCGACGAGTCAGGAAGACCTTCGACGATCTACCGATGTGCATGTGCATCCTGACGAGATTGAGTAAGGCAATATCGGTGCGAGCCATGTTCGAGCACGGTATGCGCTCTAACGTGGGCACCGTCGTGCACGGAGAGTCGACTGTGGAGATGCCCTGGCCGTCGGAGGACGTGGTCGCCGCGTTCTGCGAACGGTACGAAGCGCACCTCGACCGGTTCGTGCGCGACGTCATCAGATCGGTGTGGATATACGGGTTCGTCGCGACTTCGTGTCGCGACGGAATCCCGGTCGCGGTGGACTTGGACGAATGTCTGGTGTTCAGAAATCGGGAAGGCGTCCTCCACGTCAGGTCCGTCATGACCGAGGAAGCGCTCGCCGTCACGATCGTACATAGTCCAAGCGTTGACGGTCGACTTCGAAGCGCCGTGTCCTACCTGGCCGTCTGTCACGAGAACGTCAGGGCGCTGACAGACTACAACCTGGCCGCAGTCAGAAACTCTGCCGTGAACTTCATCGTGACCGGTCCCAGGGACGAGCGAAAGACTCCGGACGCCGACTACGAAGAGGACGAAGATCGCGTGACGGGTGCGGCTGTCGAAAATCTCGTCCAGGCAAGAACGATCGGAGTTCCGCGGGCGGCTTCCCTACTGAGCGACGCGTGAAAGGCCGCCGCCGTGGACAAGGAACAGAAGCTGCTCGCCGACCTTGCGCGGTGCCGGAGGGAGAAGGAGAATCTGAGGAGCAGCTTGGCAGCTCAGAGGCACGGAGGGATGCACGGTCTTCCCGACGTCGCCACGGAGGACGTGGGAGACGAGAGGAGCATGCTGGCGTGCGAGTTTAACGCGAAGTCTTACTCCGGAGTCGAACAGGCGACCCACGCGCTCGACGTACTCGTCAGGAACGTCCTGCTCGATTCCGTCCCTGCCGACGTCGCAAACACGCATTCGT